TCATTTCTGCCAAATGAGTACAGGCCACATTGCAGAATTTTTAAAAAGACCATCCTCCTTTTATTCCATTTTGGCAGAATTCTAAGGGCCATTGACAACCAGTAGACAGACCTTGGCTTAAAAGGTGGCCTCTCTGCCATTGTCATGGCTGAATTGAGACCCATTATGCACTGGATTCTGCATTGTAAAATCTAGCCTGGGTGCAAAATTTCTGCCTGTCATCTTAGGAAAGGCCAGGAGTTTTGCACCATCCTGTAGTGTGAGAACAGAAAAACAAAGCCAGCATAAGAGCTGCCTGATTCTTTTCTGACCAGTCTGTTGTTTTTCTGAGGCAGTCTTGGCTGTCACTCTATTAGTCTGGGAAGGGCAATTTAGTAGAATCATAGGTAGTTTAAATCACATCTCCTGGGGCAGGGGGAAGCTCCTCCTTATACTTAATATTAAATGCAAAGAGATAAGTAGTAGCTAACCGGTTGATGCTTGGTTAAGCCCGCTGCATGGGGTAAGCACTGAAAAAGAACAAAAATCCTTTCCAGTCTGGTATGATCCTGATTCGGGAGCCAAGAGGCCCAGGTATTTTCTTTGGATTGCTCATTATTTTGCAATGACAGACCCATCAAACTCCAGTTTCTGAATCAAACTGCTGTCCCTCACTCCAATAATACAACATAAACTGCAGAGATCTAAATATCTTCCAAGATGCTTAACAGTTTGTTGAAAATGACAGTATGGATAACTCTGCCAATGACCTCTCCTTTCTAATGTCAATTTCTGAAAACAAGTTTCCACTGCAAATATTTAATCAGCTTGCTTCCAAGAACCTGGCACCAACTGTCTTCTCTCCCAACTTAATAGTCCTGCAAGCTCTTTCCTAGCTCTGTCTCAGCTTCCGCCAAGCACTTTAGGCTTTTCGTTTTCAAAGGGGCTGGGAGCTGTGGAGGTTCTGAGCTAGGCAGAAACCCTGTGGTTTGACTCCATTAGTCTAAACCCCGGTCTTCTGCGAGCAAGCTGCACTATTTGTGATTGCAAAATCCCTGGCAGCCAGGTTCTAGAACGGCCACAGACACACGCCGCAAGCATTCTTCCAGACTGTTCTGCCCAAATCTTGCCTAGAACCAATCAAGCACAACAGAAAGCATCTTACCTTCCATCATGGTGGCAGAATTGCATTCCTTAATTTCCAAGGAGTCAGAAAAGAAACACAGGAGGAGAGGCTTGCGGGTCCCAGCCAAGTCCTCACAACAGGCAGGTCAGCTAAGTCCTCACCAGGCGCAGATCCCAGCTATGTCCTCACAGGGCCGCTGCTGAGGTCTGCCCTGCCTGCTGCCAAGCCAAAGGAGACAAGTGTTAACCCGAAAGCCAGGCCATGGATGCTGTCGTGCCGCTTTACCTACAGGCTCCCAGGAAGATGCTGAGAGAGGAAGGCAGAGGAACAGCGAGCCGCACCGCCTGCGCTGCCTGGGCCAATCCCTTCAGCTCTGGACCGCGTCACATGGTAGCCAGCTTGCATCTCCTGACACAATACCCCCGGAGAGCGCACGGAACCCATTTCCCGTCCCCATTCCCCGCCACCCCCTCCGCCTCCCGCTCCTCAGCAAACACTCAGCCCCTTCCCCACCTGGTGACGCACTTCCCCCGCCCCTCCTCGTGGTCCTCCAAGCCAATTGCGGTCGGAGGGCACAGGGATGTTGGGATGATGAGATCTGCCACCTTAGCCGGGGACTGTGGCGAGAAAGCTGCACCCAGCTTCGCCACGGAAGGCGGGGGTGTCTTTTTCTTTCGTTCTTCCCCCACCTCTTTCTTTAAAAGAAAAAAACTTCTTAATGATGCCAGATCGTGGCTACAGGATTTCCCGCTTCTATTCCCATCTCCTTTTGCCCTGAAGGAATTCCAAATGTCATTGCCTGGTCTCTGCGCACATCTGTATCTGGGTGGTTCTCTCTCTCTCTCTCTCTCTCTCTCTCTCTCTCTCGCCCATTCACGAGAGAAAAACCAATCCGCCGACGTCACATCATAAACAATCATCCCCCAAAGGATGATGCAGAAAAAAAAAAAAAAATCACCCCAGTTGCCTTCAAGGGAGGCAGGAAATTAATTGCGCATGACAAGCCCAAGGGCTGGGAACTGTCATTAAAACAAAGAAACAAAAGAACCCACCCGATCTGGGCTCTGGAATCAAACTGGCAATGCTTGAGCTCATTTCTGGGGTGAGAGGCGGGAGAGAGGACTGCAGGCGGGGAGCTCCGGCCTTGCGGCTGCAGGCGTGTGCTCGCCGCCTCCTCCCACGCACAGGGCGCTGCAGCCCCCCAGGCTGCGAGTCCCACCTCCACTGCTACCTCCAAGCCCAGAGCTCGCCGAGCCGCCTCCTGCCCCAGGTGGGGAGCCTTGCTCCTTGCCCAGTGACTACAGCTGCCAGCTGTAGGAAGTGGAATTTCTTTTAAATGGGACGTTTTCCTGAGACGTGCCTCTAGCGATCTGGAGTCGCCTCGGAGCCCAGTCCTTCACCCCAGGTTGCCTCTGGGGGAAGGCCATGGCCAGGATGGGGGCTGGAGGGCTGGGGGACCCCAGTGCTTGGCAACTTCCTGGGATGGGGTCTCGGGTTGTGTAAAGGGTTTAGGCACAAGATCTGCTTGGGCTGAGGGTCTGCCACCTGAGGCTCTCCAGAGATCTGGGAACCCTTCACAGGGCCACAGGGAGGGTGTCCTGCCATCAATGGCTTGATTTTAACAGGCCAGACGCCAAGCAAAAAAAAAAAAAAAAAAAAAAAAAAAAAAAAACAATGCCAATGACCACAAACTAGAAGGGAGGGACAAAAGAAAGGGAGGTGGGTGGGGACTAGAGAGAGGTCTCAGGAGGGAGACAAGGGCAGAATGAGACCTATGAAAATTTCCTCAAAATACCTAAGATCAGGGCTGAGTCTCTGTCACTATTATTCATCGTTTTATAACACCCTCAACATTTTTAATATCATCCAACCTTTGACATAGTCCAGGTTTCTACCAGAGAAATAGGTCATGTTGGAGGCAGTGAAACACTAAAGACAACAGTGTATTAAAAGTTAAAAATGGAAAAATAAGAATTCAGCTCCTTAGCAACTTAGAAGTATTTTAATTAAAAAAATAAACCATTGTTTTCCCCAAGGAGACATATTTCAGCGACCTCTACATTTCAAAATTAAAGTCTCCAGAGAGACAAAAGTGTTGTGACATTTTCCTTATGTCTATGAGGCAAGGAATGGATTGCAAACAAAATCTTGTCTTAAGGGCAAGTTGTGGTGCTCTGAAAGTTGAAGTGAGTTATTGAATAAAGGATTGGGGTGTGGGCTGGAGGGATAGCATCATTGTTAGAGGCTCAGGCTAACAACCAAAAAAGATTGGGTGTGTATGTGTGTGAGATTAGTAAATCATGTTAAACCTTAAGAACGTGGATAGATATTGGTGTCAAACATATATGGATAGAGTTGTGTCTAATGCTTATTGAGAACTTAGACCCTAGGCAAGTCCTGCAAGTATTTTTCAAGATTTCCTTTTCTGCGAGGTAGAGATTAGAATAATACCACCTTCATAGGCCTTTAAATTGTAACAACAAATCTGTAGTAATGGCTTACTATAATGCCAAGCACTGTTTCAATGCTCACCAGTAAGTTACTTAGCTTTGTGTGTGGAGCATTGCTAAGTGCTCCATGTTAACATTGCAGAATTAGTATCATTGACGCAGAAGGGCTGGCAGATATGTCACAGGAAGTTGCAGCCAATTCAGAATTATGTTAGGTGCTCAGAAAGCCTCATGCACAGAAAGAGAATGGGGTACACAGAGAGCCTCACATGCAGAGAGAGAGAACCATGTGCACAGAAAGTTGTATACTCAGAACCACGTGTGCAGTAAAAGAGCTGGTGCTGCATGCTGGAGGCTCCTGGAGACTGCTGAGGAGCAAGTAGAACCAATCAAGATTAATCTGGGGCAAATCCTTGAGAGATGGCACTCTAGAGTAGTTCATAAAAAAATTGTACGAACTTGAAGTGGACGTTACAAAGAAGATAAGGAATTCTAAATAACAAAGTTCATGGTCTATGTCTGGAGGTGAGCGGAAGCAGGGAGAGGTGGAGAAGGAGCAGCATGTGTAGCTAGCAGGGAGGAGGGAGTCCTGGAGTCAGCTCTCTTCCTCTTCTGACCACCCACCCCCAGCCTGGGCTCTAGTGTGTTAGAGCAAACTTCTCACATTTACAGCAGACTCATACCAGTTTGTTCTATGTTTGCAGTAAGGTTGCCAGCTAGACAGAAAGTGAGCTCCAAGTTTCTTGCTTTCAATATATTTTGAAAGTTTTAGTGGACACCTAATTGTACACATTTTGGGGCTATAATACGCTATCAAAATGCATGTATATAATGTTTAGTGGTTAGATCAAGGTAATTCACACATTTGCTACCTCAAGCAAGCTTGTGCAACATTCAAAATCTTCTCCGCTAGTAGTTTTGAAATGTGCAGTCAGCTGCCATCGATCACAGTGATTCTCCTGTACTGTAGAATGTTAGAAGCTGTTCTGATCCAGCTCACCCTATACCTGGCAGTCATCTTTCCTTCACCCTTTCCCTTAAAATTCCCAGTTTCACTACTCTACTCTCTATGTCTGTCAGATCAAATTGTCAGCTTTCACATATAATAGATAAATATGGTATTTGTTTATCTGTACTTACCATTGACTTACTTCACTTAATCTAATATCCTACAAACTCATCCATGTTTTTGTAAGCGACAGCACTACATTTTAATGGCTGAATAATATTCCACTGCACATGTATGCATTAATTGCTTTTCTGTTGGTGTGATAAAACACCATGCCCAAGGCAACTTACAGAGTTTATTTGGCTTATTGGTTCCAGAGGGATAAGAATGCATCATGGTGGGGAGGAATAACAGGAGGCAGCTGGAGCAGAAAGCTGGAGCCTCACATCTTCAAGCAGGCACAAGAAAGAGAGAGATAAACTGGTAATCGGGTAACGAGCTCTCAAAGCCTGCCCCCAGTGACTTGTCTCTGCTAGCAAAGCCATACCTCCTGAAGGTTCTATGATCTCCCCAAACAGTGCCACCCTCTGACCAAGCATTCAAATGCTTGGAGCCTATGGGACATTTATTCAAAGCACCACATTCTACTCCCTGGCTCTCCCATATCACACACACACACACACACACCCCCCATTTTCTTTATTCCTTTGATGGGCACTTTGGTTGATTCCATATCTTGACTGTTGTAAATGATGTCAAAATGCACAGATGAGTGCAAATGTGTGTTTAACATGCAATTTCTTTCTTTTGGGTGCATACCCAGTAGAATTTCCAGATTGTCGTTTGTTAAGTTGTGCAAGCTCCATAGTATGTTTTATAATTACATTTGTACTAATAGTAAGAGTTCTCCTGCCTCTATATCCTCATTAGCATTTTTTTGTCTTTTGATAACAATTTTAAGTAGTTGAAATGATATCCCATTGTGGTTTTGATATACTGGTACTTTCCAGGTAATTAGTGACACTGAGCATTTTTCATCTGTCATTGGCTATTCATTTATCATCTTTTTAGAAATCGCTACTGTTATACTTTGTTTCTTATGACTGTGATAAAACACTGACCAAAAACAACTTGGAGAAGAAAGAATCTTATGCTTCCTAGGCAGAGTCCATCTTTGAGAGGAGTCAGGCTGAAACACAGGGTAGGAACCTGGAAGCTGGTATGGAAGTAGGGCCAAGGAGGAATGCTGCTTACTGACTCGCTCCTCTGGCCTGTTTTCACTGCCTTGCTCCTTTGGCCTATTCTCTGCTTGCTTTCTTTTAAAATCTCTCTCTCTCTCTCTCTCTCTCTCTCTCTCTCTCTCTCTCTCTCTCTTAGATATAGTCTCCCATAGCCCCAGTTGTCCTGGAACTCACTATGTAGACAAGCTGGCCTCCAACTCACAGAGATCCGCCTGCCTCTGCCTCCCGAGTACTAGGATTAAAGGTGTGCACCACCAGCCCAGCTCAGCCTGATTTCTTACACAACCCAGGCCCACAGTGGCCTAGGCCCATCCAATTACTCAAAAGTCAAGAAAATGCTTCACTGACATGCCCATAGGCCAAATCAAGAGAGGAATCTCCCCAACCGAGGTTTCCTCTTCTCGGGTGAGTCAAGTTGACGACTGGAGCTATCCAGCACACCTACTCAAATCATTTTCTCAACAGCTATTATATTTATAGGGAAAACAAAAGTACACAGATATGAGTGCCGTAGAAAAACCAACAAAGGGATGTGTAGCAAAAGGTGGTGAGACGAAGGCTAGAAAAGTTTCTCTCCAACTTTATCAGCTCTTCCTCTCATGCCCTGTAGAAGATGATGCTTCTGTCAGTTATAAGGATATTCAGTGAACAAAGTTCTGCTTCATATTAAGGCTTATTCAGACGTATTTTCAGAAAAGACTGAACATCTTTATTTTATCTCCTCATAGATTTTGGGGTAAATGATTTTGCAAATGACAAAGGCAGCATTTTGAACTATGCCCCCAATTTTATCACTTCGGAGTATAGATTTTTGCTTGCCAACAAGCCCAGAGGAGAATTTCTTGCTGTTGAAATAATGGGATATTTTTTATAAATCTGAAATTGCAGTCAAAAGATCTCAGGAAAGGTAGGGTAGGTTGCTGACTTGCATTAGAGGATAAAGATTGCCTAGGAGTTCCATCCAGGATGGTGAAGACGGGGCCATATCATCACATTAGACTCATGATAGTGGTTTTGGCCAGTCCAAGACCAAAGGCTTAAGTGCGGGGTCACTAGACATTGTATAATATTTTTAAAATAAGGTTTTGTGGTAGTAATACTTCAGTATGTGTGTGTTAGAATCAGATTTTCATTAGGTTCTTATTGTAAACATTGACTTATTCCTTCTTAATTTTAGTGTTTTAGGGGATTAACTGTTCACA